CAGTGAGTCAGTCAACTTTGACATTGATCCTTGCCATGATATTATGTACAATGTACATGTGTAGGTGCTCTTGTCCATCAATACCACAACGATTGAGGAACCAAAAAAAGTATCCAAAAAAAGTTTCATTCCGGCCGACCGAGTCTCCTTTTTGAGGGGTTGCCGACCGGAAACAAGCCTATTTTTTGTTTTGGCCTTATAGCGCGAGCTCCAGTGTGGGGAGCAAACCCTTTCCTAGAACAAGTAATTTATAGGTCCGTTTTTGTCTTCCAATTTGTCTTCTTGTATCCTACTGCAGCTTTGCTCTCTGGCAAGCCTTTTCCTTCGGGCCTCTTGCCGTTCCAGGATCCGTCCGATCGGTACTTTTTTAACCCGGAAATTACGTGGCCCGTTCCTCCCAATCCAACAACAACAACACCGCTGCCAACAACAACACCACTCCCAACAACAACATCACTGCCAACAACAACACCACTCCCAACAACACCACCACTGCCAACAACAACACCACTGCCAACAACAACACCACTCCCAACAACACCACTCCCAACAACAACACCACTCCCAACAACAACACCACTGCCAACAACAACACCACTCCCAACAACACCACTCCCAACAACAACATCACTGCCAACAACAACACCACTGCCAACAACAACAACACTGCCAACAACAACACCACTCCCAACAACAACACCACTCCCAACAACACCACTCCCAACAACAACACCACTCCCAACAACACCACTCCCAACAACACCACCACTCCCAACAACAACACCACTGCCAACAACACCACCACTCCCAACAACAACATCACTCCCAACAACAACACCACTCCCAACAACAACACCACTCCCAACAACAACACCACTCCCAACAACAACATCACTCCCAACAACAACACCACTCCCAACAACAACACCACTCCCAACAACAACACTCCCAAGAACAACACCACTGCCAACAACAACACCACTCCCAACAACACCACTCCCAACAACAACATCACTGCCAACAACAACACCACTCCCAACAACAACACCACTGCCAACAACAACACCACTGCCAACAACAACAACACTCCCAACAACAACACCACTCCCAACAACAACACCACTGCCAACAACACCACCACTCCCAACAACAACATCACTCCCAACAACAACACCACTCCCAACAACAACACCACTCCCAACAACAACACTCCCAAGAACAACACCACTGCCAACAACAACACCACTCCCAACAACAACACCACTCCCAACAACAACACCACTCCCAACAACAACATCACTGCCAACAACAACATCACTGCCAACAACACCACCACTCCCAACAACAACACCACTGCCAACAACAACAACACTCCCAACAACAACACCACTCCCAACAACAACACCACTCCCAACAACACCACTCCCAACAACAACATCACTCCCAACAACAACACCACTCCCAACAACAACACCACTCCCAACAACAACACTCCCAAGAACAACACCACTGCCAACAACAACACCACTCCCAACAACAACACCACTCCCAACAACAACACCACTCCCAACAACAACATCACTGCCAACAACAACATCACTGCCAACAACACCACCACTCCCAACAACAACACCACTGCCAACAACAACAACACTCCCAACAACAACACCACTCCCAACAACAACACCACTCCCAACAACAACACCACTGCCAACAACAACAACACTCCCAAGAACAACACCACTGCCAACAACAACAACACTCCCAAGAACAACACCACTCCCAACAACAACAACACTCCCAACAACAACACCACTCCCAACAACAACACCACTGCCAACAACAACACCACTCCCAACAACAACACCACTCCCAAGAACAACACCACTCCCAAGAACAACACCACTCCCAACAACAACACCACTCCCGTCCACCGCGTTTCCGTCCACCGCGTTCCCGACCACCGCAGGCACCATCTCGGGACCGTTGCCAAACCCGCTGGCCACGTTCACTGTTGCAACCATTGCTCCTCTTGCTCTCGCTGTTGTCATACTTCTCCTGCTTGCGCTGGCAGTCTTCAGACGGAGTTTTCAGCCAGCCAAGGGAAAGGGCAAGACACCAGGTAAGACGCTGTGCGTGTCATGTCGACGTCCAGGATTTCTTTTACGAATGAAACAGGCTGGAAAGGGGGGGGGGAGGGAAGACAAGTAGGGAAGGAGGGGACGTCAGGGGGTCAGACAGGTAAAGAAGAGACATGGGGGTGGTGGGGGGGGGGGGGAGGGCAGACGGGGAGGGAGGGGACGCAAGAGGGTCAGACAGGTGGGGCAGGAAACAGGGGATGTAGGGGGAGGGCAGACAGGGAGGGAGGAGATGCAAAGGAGGTCAGACGGGTAGGGAAGGGACCCAGTAGGGGGAGGGGGGAGAGGAGGAGGGCAAACAGGGAGGGAGGGGATGCAAGGGAGGTCAGACAGGTAGGGAGGGACACAGGGAGGGGGCCGAGGAGTGGGCAGTGATCAAACTGGAATACTAACCTTACGATGCAGCAGCACGGAGGATATCCGATGACGTCAACATTGACTCCACTGCGGCGAGCGGATTTCATCTGTACAATGCGCTTTTCCTGCTTCTCAGTTGCCTGCCATGCATTCCTCTGCTATACGCTTGGATTTGCAGTATGAGTTGTGACTCTGTTGGGGACACGAACAGCAAGGTAGATTCACCCGTTTGTTCTACGGTCGAACTAGAATTTTTAGGAACTTTTTTATACCCACCTCCCAACCATCCTACCTACTCACCCACCCACTCTCCTACCTACCTACTTACCTACCCACCCACCCACATAATGCGTACTCAGAGCAAACACATTCTGTATCTGCTGTGTGTGTGTGTGTATGTGTGTGTGTGTATATGTGTGTGTGTGTGTGTGTGTGTGTGTGTCTGCTGAGTGTGTGTATTTGTTTGTGTGCATGTGCGAATGTGTGCATGTTTGCGTGTTCCTGTACAGGTGAGAAAATGGATGCTGTTGAGACGGGCTCTAGTGCTTTTCTCTCAAGTGGCAGAGGCGGCGATACCCGTATGGTTGCTCTCAGCCTGACTGACATGATTGAGTTAGAACGGACCAATTCACTGGGCTCGGAAGGCTACGGAAATGTAAGAACTTCACCGTGTTCAAATTGTATGTTCTTTTTTCTGTTGGGGGGGGGGGGGGGGTTGGGGAGCTAGGAGGTAGGGGTAGGTAAGGGGGGGGGGGGTAGTGTGATGGGTAAAGGTGTTGGTGATTCAGTGTGCAGCTCAGCACTCAGAGCATTGCCTTCTTATGGTATTTGCAAAAGAATACTGTTAAAAACCGGGATCTTTCCGGGTGTATTTTTTCGGTTTTTCCAAAAATCAACAGTTCGGTAGCGCGAAAATTTCGGTAAACCAGTTGTCCAGTTCCAAAATGCATTTTGCACATTTTATTGTGTGGCATTGACTTGTTGAATTTTATGTCGCGTTTTATTTTAAGAAACAAAGTACCTGTACCGAAGTTACCGAAAACAGACCTCCACAGAATTTTTCCGGTTTTACAGGATACAGGACTGGTCCACCTTGGTTATGGATTATTTATTTATTTTATTCATTGTCTCCACTTCATGGCACATAATAATACATAGCCAATACAAGAAAGGGAGGGTGAGTCCAACCACGGAAAATAGCATTATCAAAAGAAGAAAAAGGGATGGGAGGTGTCACCGTGTGTCAACAGCAGGTAGCACAATACCATATAGATACCACCCCCCGGGGGTTTCAAATTGTTTGTCTTATAACGAGAACTGTCTACTATCCGGACGTGAATGTACGCGTTTCAGGCGTCAGGGGATCTTTGATCGTTGTCTACTAATGATGTTTGTCTTGTGACCGATGTCGTACTAACGAGGCTAGACCTGTGGGTGCACTGCGCAGTAGTATTCCCCAAGCGCACTCAGCATTTGCTCCTGAGCGGGTCCGCTTGTGTCATGTTAATGCTTTTAATTAAATAGTGCTGAATCGTATTCAGTAGGATCGACATCTCGACAGCATCATCTCTACAACAGCGGGCTGCGTTGCTCAAGCCATTGATGTTGTTATAGCAATCAGCAGAATTAGCAGAGCGGACATTGGACGTAGATGAACAAGAATAAAATAATTATGGATAATAAAACTGCCTAACAAGTTTTCTAGAGACATTCATCAGGGAAATAAGTCTCAATGTTGAAATCTAGTAATAAACAACAATAATACGTGGAAGAGTAGTGTACGCTTCTCGTTGGCAGAATTTGAAATAAAGGTGTTGGTGATTCAGTGTGCAGCTCAGCACTCAGAGCATTGCCTTCTTATGGTATTTGCAAAAGAATACTGTTAAACCGGGATCTTTCCGGGTGTATTTTTTCGGTTTTTCCAAAAATCAACAGTTCGGTAGCGCGAAAATTTCGGTAAACCAGTTGTCCAGTTCCAAAATGCATTTTGCACATTTTATTGTGTGGCATTGGCTTGTTGAATGTTATGTCGCGTTTTATTTTAAGAAACAAAGTACCTGTACCGAAGTTACCGAAAACAGACCTCCACAGAATTTTTCCGGTTTTACAGGATACAGGACTGGTCCACCTTGGTAATGGATTATTTATTTATTTTATTCATTGTCTCCACTTCATGGCACATAATAATACATAGCCAATACAAGAAAGGGAGGGTGAGTCCAACCACGGAAAATAGCATTATCAAAAGAAGAAAAAGGGATGGGAGGTGTCACCGTGTGTCAACAGCAGGTAGCACAATACCATATAGATACCACCCCCCGGGGGTTTCAAATTGTTTGTCTTATAACGAGAACTGTCTACTATCCGGACGTGAATGTACGCGTTTCAGGCGTCAGGGGATCTTTGATCGTTGTCTACTAATGATGTTTGTCTTGTGACCGATGTCGTACTAACGAGGCTAGACCTGTGGGTGCACTGCGCAGTAGTATTCCCCAAGCGCACTCAGCATTTGCTCCTGAGCGGGTCCGCTTGTGTCATGTTAATGCTTTTAATTAAATAGTGCTGAATCGTATTCAGTAGGATCGACATTTCGACAGCATCATCTCTACAACAGCGGGCTGCGTTGCTCAAGCCATTGATGTTGTTATAGCAATCAGCAGAATTAGCAGAGCGGACATTGGACGTAGATGAACAAGAATAAAATAATTATGGATAATAAAACTGCCTAACAAGTTTTCTAGAGACATTCATCAGGGAAATATGTCTCAATGTTGAAATCTAGTAATAAACAACAATAATACGTGGAAGAGTAGTGTACGCTTCTCGTTGGCAGAATTTGAAATAAACGAGAAGCATTGTTCTTTCGAATGACGAACATCTGCGATGCGTGTTTTTTGTTTTGTTTCGTGTTTTTTCTATTTTATTTTATTTTTGATACCATGACACAGAAGGTCGCGCAAGCGCGGAAAAGCGCTTGCACAGTTTGACTCTTTTTTGTCTTGCATTGCAACTTTTTTTTTCTTGCAATATGGCTGCCCGCAGCCAACCCTGCACTTGTTATGGCTGATGTGAGGTATGAGAAAGAACAAAATGCACTATGTGAAAGAAAAATAGGAGAAAAGAAGATGAAGTGTGAACTAATAACAGGGTTGTACTGTGTCCGATATCCGCTTCGCTCATTCTGCTGATTGTTATAATAATTATAGCTATTGTCTCCGCGCCGCTTATTCATTGATGTTGTGTTCGCAATTATCATTCTTGACAAGCTGCTGCGTGTGTGGGCACGCGTTATCCACATTCTCAACTTCGGCCTTGACTTTCTCGTGTGTTCCCGACTAGAATGTGCTGAGAACCATTCGTCCTTCGGATTTGGGGATTCGCCAAAACGCTACGCCAGCAGTTGAGACATGGCGGAATGCACCGCAAGCAGATGGACACGAAACGAACAGTATCCAAATGTCCTGCCGATCTACAGAGCCGATCATCGACACAAAGCTATCAACAGAAACCGCACATTTCGCTAGTGACGAGATATGTTCCCACTCACAGCCGCACATGTGAACACTAGTGAACACTCAACACTCGCACAATTAATTGCATTTCGTTTTGCATGTTTGTTGCTTCTACATGTATTAGAAAAGTTTTCTGATAATTTTGTTCCGTTTCCAATTTCTTATCTACATGTATAATTGCAAGGTGGTAACAGCATACTGTTTGTGAAGTCTGAAAAAAAAAGAATCGTGCTCGAACAAGGCATAATCCTGTTTGAAACCCATACTTGCGTTCATTTTCGTCGAGTTCCTATCAAGACTATGGCTATGTTCTTTGTTGTTTCTACTTCAAGAAGTAGCTGTATTGCATTGCATTCTTGGACATCGGTTCGTGTGTGCCATGCCGTGGTTTCTCAGTATCCATTGTGGGTTTTCGAACAGGATTGGCCTCTAGTTTGATTCTGATGCAATTGCATTATTGTTAGAGTTAGTGCCCTTGCTGCCTCGCTTTCCTAGTTCTGTTTCCACGTGACAGTTTGATGTCTGACGCATGCATGCTTTCCTAGTTCTGTATCCACGTGACAGTTTGATGTCTGACGCATGCATGCTTTCCTAGTTCTGTTTCCACGTGACAGTTTGATGTCTGACGCATGCATGCTTTCCTAGTTCTGTTTCCACGTGACAGTTTGATGTCTGACTCATGCATGCGCTGCTTGAGCGGACCACTGTGAGTTGTTTCCTTTCACCGTTCTTTCCTGTTGAATTATTTGAGAAATTTTCTTTTCCTCGCAGGGGCGGATCCAGGAATTTTTCAGGGGGGGTTCAAATTTTTTCGAGTGCACAGAATTAAATTCGCTTCAAATTGTTTTCGGTTCGTTCACTACACCGAGAGTTGCAAAATCGTTATTGTCACGGTAGCCCTGGCATTGCTTGGCCAATACACACAAGACAAGGGTAATGCGTTTAGAGCCTTACAAAGTCCAAAGCTGCAGCACAGGCAGAAATTAAGGCCGTGTCTGCAGCATTTTCCGAACTGACGGAAGGCGAAGTTCTTTGACTGTCCTCCGGCTGGGACTCCGTGTCGTCACATTTGCGCCGTACATGGCGGAACGAAGCCAAGCTCAATGGCAACTGTCTGAACTGATCGGCAGCTCGCCTCTTTGGCAGACGTCGCGACATGGCAAACTACACGACAAACACAAACATTATCTTCGTACTGCGACGGAGGAAACCTACAGTCCAGCCAGCGCGAAATAAAACAAAACGACAAGGAAGGTAAGGAGGACAAGTGGCAGTTTCTCCACCTTTCGCTCCACCGCGACATGGCAAACTACACGACAAACACAAACATTATCTTCGTACTGCGACGGAGGAAACCTACAGTCCAGCCAGCGCGAAATAAAACAAAACGACAAGGAAGGTAAGGAGGACAAGTGGCAGTTTCTCCACCTTTCGCTCCACCGCGACATGGCAAACTACACGACAAACACAAACATTATCTTCGTACTGCGACGGAGGAAACCTACAGTCCAGCCAGCGCGAAATAAACCAAAACGACAAGGAAGGTAAGGAGGACAAGTGGCAGTTTCTCCACCTTTTCCTCCACCGCGACATGGCAAACTACACGACAAACACAAACATTATCTTCGTACTGCGACGGAGGAAACCTACAGTCCAGCCAGCGCGAAATAAAACAAAACGACAAGGAAGGAGGACAAGTGGCAGTTTTTCCTCCTTTTGCTCCACCACTTGAACTGTCGATCGTTTCAAGTCACATGCGTACAGACCCTTCGATTCGAACGGTAGATCTACGCGTCCAACAGTCCCGACCACTGCATGCATGCAGTGACCTAGTACCTGCACTGCCTGTACGTAACTACTGCATATGCATGCAGGATTGCCAGTGAAGTCTACTGGCTACGCTGCATGTAGATCTACGCTACACTTCGCTGGCTGCGCACTTGGAGATCACAAAAAAATCGACTGGACCCTGGCCATGGTCGAAATTATTTTAGGGGGTTCGTCCGAACCCCCTGAACCCCCCCTGTATCCGCCCCTGCCTCGGCTTGTATGCACTGTCTTTGATGCTTGCATACTGTGGGATACCACGGTTTGCCGCGTCATGAATTTTTTGAACGTTCTTCTCACATATCTGCGGTGCAACGCGAGTAGTTTCGTACTATTAAAAAATATTTTAAACGCTGCTTGATCCTTGAGGGTGGTGGTGGTGGTTCTAAGGATGTACTGACTGGGTCTCACTCGAGCCGTGAAATGAAAATTACGCAGCTACTGTATGAGGGTGGCTACATTCCTGAAGATGGGCCTTGCCCGGAAATTCGGACGATTTTTACTTTTATTCCTTTTTCACTGATTGGTCTTGTCCAGAGACCGCTTGGACAGTGTTGCGAAGATGTATGAGAGCGGAGCATAGTGAATTCTGTTAGTGTAAGTCAGGGGTTGTGTGTGAATAGTGGGCTGTGTAACAGTGTGTGTGTGTGTGTGAGCCATCGTCAGCAAGACTGCTTGTACCCTGGACCATCTATTATTGTCTAAGTGCCATGCAGGTGCACACGTACAATATAGTACCCAGGGAGATGGTGAGAGACCGTAGCGCCCAAATGCAGATGCCCCCCCCCCCTCCACCTCCTCGTATTCAGATTATTATTACTTCAGTATTATTATTATTATTATTATTATTATTATTATTATTATTCATGAAGTCGCTTGTTCCAACTAGGAACACGCGCTTCTTGCCAAACTTGACACTTGACTGACTCACGACTGCCATCCGGAGCACACGAGGAGCACGTCGCACCTTCCACTCGGCAAACCTGCAAGAAAGCACCACTCCCTGCTCAATACACGGTGTTTCGGGGAATTCACCCCTCATCAGTTGAGCTTGAGTAGGCTGAGGAAGATTGTGCCTGAAAAGCACCACTTATATACTGCTCTCCAGGCCAAACCATCACCAGGGATACAAACTTACAGAGACGCTTTGTTTCCAGCGCGACAAACACCTCGTGAAGCTCCAGGTAGCAGTGTGAGTCAGAGTCGCTCGTGGAGTTGTGTCTAAGTTCGTATTATTATTATTATTATTATTATTAATAAAACGATGAAAATAAGAAGAAATGGTGTAGGGAAAAAATATGGATTCAAACAAGTTTTCGTACGACACTCATCAGGAATCGTCGTTGTACTAAAGGACACAGAAATAAAAATTGAACTATTATAGAAAATCTAAGTTAGAGAAATAACACTAAGGCCACCCTTTGTTAATTCATTGTTTAACGTCCTTTTTTTCGCGAAAAGGTACGCGGGAGGGCGGAAAAAAAACAAAAGCCCATTCCACAAACTGGAAACCCCAATCAAACATTTTGACCAGTAAAGCATGTGATATATACAATATTTCTGGGTCTAACGGCACTTGCAGGCATAGAACAACACTCTTTGATGGTACATTGGAGCACATGCCTGATGAATCCAACAAAACAGGTACATAGCATGGAGTTAGCATGTCATGAATTCATTACATCTGGATTTTTACTAGGACACACACCGTACGATATTTAAAAGCCAACAAAAAAAAGAAAAAGAACACAAGACAAAGGCATGCCTGGGAGGCAAGATTATAAGTTTAAGGTCATGATCGGCACACTGTGAAACTACACAATCATGTATTTACAACTTCGCATATTATTGGTACTACTACTTTCTTGTTTTTTTTTCCGGTCGGAGGCAAAAAGGTACGCGGGCGCGGACGTTAAACAACGAAAAAAGAAAGGGTGGCCTAAGAGCAACAACAGTGAAATTTACAAGTGTGAATTTTAACAATCAAAGCGAGAAATGAACAAAGGAGAAAGGAAGGAAAGACAACGTGATAACACATAACAGCAGTACGTTACACCTAGAACATTAACGGCCGAGCTTGGCCACACTTTTTTCCGGTCGGAGGCAAAAAGGTACGCGGGCGCGGACGTTAAACAACGAAAAAAGAAAGGGTGGCCTAAGAGCAACAACAGTGAAATTTACAAGTGTGAATTTTAACAATCAAAGCGAGAAATGAACAAAGGAGAAAGGAAGGAAAGACAACGTGATAACACATAACAGCAGTACGTTACACCTAGAACATTAACGGCCGAGCTTGGCCACACTAAACACGACACGTTACTTGAACAATTTCAACCCAATTATACTATCTTTCTGTACACACAAATTAGGCTTGTACAGACGCTGATATATTTGTTTGAATCCATACTTTTTTCCCTACACCATTTCTTCATATTTTCATCGTTTTATTGCACATCGTCTCCACCGTTTTTACATTATACACATTAGGCCACACTGAAGAAGGTCTGTGGTTCGACTCACCCGACCGACCGTACATTTTTCAGCCCGACCGTAACATGGTAACTTTTTTTCGGCGGGCTGTCGTGTGACTGACGTACGTACGTGGACTGAACACGTCCACGTCTACGTGCTGTGCAGCGTGAGTCTGCGGACGCAGGCTAGGCGGCTCCTTTTGGACTTGACTTGTAGTTGTACTGCAGTGCAGTGCAGTGAGATTGCACTTTCCTCGTGTACAGTATTGCACTATTGGGAACCAATTTTCACCTGTACCGGTAAGTTGCTGCTCCATGTGTGCAAGCACAGGAAGCGTCGATGGAAAAAGCCCATGTATTCGTGCACGCCGACACCAAACTAGCAATACATGTACCGGTACATTGTACAATTTGTACTTCGAAGTAGTTCCCGAACTTACTTTCAACTCGCATCGTTCTTCATTTGCTTGATGATTTGGACAGTCAGAGTCACCGCTTGAAGTTATTCTCTTCTCGTTCCAGAGCTACACAATGTTTCAAAGTATTAGCCAGTGATCCCTTTATACAACATGTATGGCATAACACTGCGTAATAATGCCGATGTACTGGGTGTCTAAAGGCAGTACAGTGTATTTACATGTACTAAAAAATATATTTAAAAAAAAATCCGCCCGCCCGCCCGTAAAAAAAATGTCCGTGTTAGTCGAACCACACACCTTCTTTAGTTTGGCCTTATTATTTTTTTCTTATTTTGTTAGGGATTTCCCAACAGGCAATGTTGCCTTTTTACTGGGAACCCTAAATGAGACTTTGTGTGAGCGCGAAACAAGGCAGGCGACTCAGATGGTTGGCTTCTAACAGTTGTTCTTGCAACACACTGTCCAGATCATTGTCGCTACATATACATTCTACATGTACATGCGGGCCTCAAATGACCACCCGTACCCAGCAATAATATGCGGCGCATTATTATTATTGTCGACCTGGTCTCTGACCTTACCTTCACGTAATTATCGGCATCTCGCATTCACAATCACCACCACAGCCATGCGAAACCTAAAAACAAGAATCATTTCCGAAAATCCTTGGTAGCCATAATAGATCATCAACCAGAAAATAATTCAACCAACGACATAATGGCAGCGCCTTCATGTCCATTGACCAAGCTCTTCAGGGAAGTTCAGAATCTCCGTAAAGCCTTAGCTGCATGCAAGGGGAGAAGGCAAGTGTTTGCTCGCCTACAGTACCGCTCGACTCGACGCCTTTTCGACGATTTCCGCTGATGGCGCATTGTTTGAAGGACTGTGTGCGTTGCCGGGTGCCTAAGTAACTAGTTCAGTAGACGACGGACTCACTAGTCTTACAATAGCCGAGATCGCCTGGCCCTGATTATTGCAATAAAATTCAGTAGTAGTACAGTACCGGTAGTAGTGTAGTACAAAAAATTCTACAACGATGACGACTTTCGGTGCAGAGGACGCTTCGCCGGGCCACGAAGTCTGTGAGTACAACTTCACACGGGTTGATGTCGAGATTCGCCCTTCATTCAATCGTGTGGGGCTCGGACATGTGCTCTGGTCCAGTCTGGATGTGCATGATTGTAGATCTACCTGTCCTTAAGGCCTTGTGTACCGCTCAGCATCTGCTGCACTGCGCTCGGCAGCCCATCTCGAGAGCCAGCGAAACTAGCCAGCTAGCTACCTGTCTTAGCCGACAGCCGCCCTTGTTGCGCCAAGGCAAGGGCCACGCCGCACGCGGGGACGAAGCCTCGCGGACCCATTCTTCCTCTGCAGAGTAGACGTCTACTATGATCAGATGATCACGATGACCTTTGCGACCCACGTCCACTGCGTCAGCAGAGGCGTGTGGCGAAAACCGGTTAGTCCAGAGGTTGTTGTTGTTGTTGTTGTTGCTTGTTTCACTACACCTCCAACCCGTAACACTCGAACAGTCCTCCACTACATGTACACCATGCATGCACGCACACTCCGCTACACCATGCATGCACGCACACTCCGCTACACCATGCATGCACGCACAACGACAGTTTCCCAATTTTCACCCAGGAGGGCATGCATCATCAGGTTCCCTGGAAGTTTGTTGTTGCAGTGTTTATTTGAATTACTCTAGTACATGCAGTCGTCGCCAAAAAAATCCGGCCAATGCTATGATCATGATGATAGGTCAGGTACCGGTAAGCTGTACTGCCACTGCCACTGCCTAGTGCACAGTCTGGCAGTAGATTCTACACGCCAGGCCAGGCTCCATAGACTGAGGCATAGTTACGGGGGGGGGGGGGGGAGGGGACTGTACACTAGTGCTCCACCCGACTGCAGTGCGGCAGATAGTGCAGTGCGGCAGATAGTGCAGTGCGGCAGATAGTGCAGTGCGGCAGATAGTGCAGTGCAGGCTGTTCAGTACTGTGCATACTGGAGCTGTACTAGGGACCGGCGGATTCTGCTGGAAAAGGTGGCAGGTTCTGCTCGAAAAGCAGTGAAATTGGCAGAACCATACAAACCTTATGGCGGGCAATTCCTCGAATTCTGCTCCATTTCTGTATCCACATACCAAACATGCATGAAACCAGAAAAAGTACCGAATTCTGCCAATTTTTCTGCCGGCAGAATCCGCCGGACCCTTAGCTATACTACTGATAGCTAAAAAATGCATGCATGCCATGCCACCATCAACGATGAAGTCGCGTACCATACCACTGGCTGTATCCATGGCATTGGCCGGATGTTTTTGGCGACGACTGTGTACTTTCTTTTCAAACGGGCAAGCCTGCCCAAGCAGACCGGAATGTGAATACCAGAGGGCTTGACTTGCCCCGAGTTACAGAGCACGCAATGCCATTGAGCCGCATAATACGGCGGCCGGCGGTCAGTGGAGGTGGAGTTGCCATGGTGACTGGGTTCCATTTTTTCAGCAAATCTGTTTCACGTCTGTCACATGACCATACAGGACAGCCATGTTGGTTCCAACTCCACTGAATCCCCCCCCCCCCCCCCCCCACCCCACCCCCCCGCACCGATAGATCACATGAGGTCGGCCATGTTGGTTCCAACTCCACTCAACTCTACCCCCCCCCCCTCCCCCCCCCCCCCTCCCCGCATCAGTAGGTGACATGAGGTCAGCCTTGTCGGTTCCAACTCCAGTCAATCCCTGCATCAGTGGAACGACGGGCAGCCAATGTTGGTTCAATGGGCACATTCTGCAATGGGCACATCCTGCATCTGTCTTGCACGTTCACTTTCTAGTTTCTACACAGGTGCAGTCGGGTGAGGAAGATGCAGGGGTGTTGGAAGATGCAGGGTGCGTTGGAAGATGCAGGGGTGTTGGAAGATGCAGGGGGCGTTGGAAGATGCAGGGGGCGTTGGAAGCTATTTTAAGGTGGTAGGGCCAACCATCTGAAGTTCTGAGGGGGGGGGGGGCTCTCCTGAAAAATTCGGAAATGTGGAGCCTAAATCAATGCAGTTTTTATTGATTCACAGGGTGGCCGGGGCACGAAAGCGGTACGGGAAATACCGTAGTGATCGTAGCGTGTTCGACGGCCCTGCGATATGGAGCAGCTAGCTCTAGTCGCACACGAGAATGGTTGACTGGTGGGCTACATGTATGTGCTTCATGTATGTGCTTCCAAGTTAAACTGTTCCGCTTGGAAGTGACCGCCCAGCACCCACGAAGTCATCGGGACAGTAGTGTGTTGGATGCGTGGGCATGCATCAAGTCTTGGAGGCCTAGACACATCAATGCATGCTGCGCTGAACCTGAAAAACGAGTTGAGCCAAGTGAAAACAGCGTGGAAGATAACAATGCGACTACTCGTACGTGACGCATAATTTGTGTCACTTGACATTCTCATGTCAATAAAATTGCTGGCCGGCAATGTGTGTCAATGCGTTGCAGTCACGGTCCAAGCCATCATATAGCTAGTGGGGGCATGTGTGTGCACGTGCCCATACATGTAGCTTGAGACCTTTTTTTGTTTTTTGATTTTACTAGAGCCAAGTAAACCCGTCATGTGTGAGCCATGAATAAGGGGAGTGGTGGAGTAGTCTGGGATGATCTGCGGACCTTGGGTCTCGGCTTCATCACAACCAGGCGCGCCTCCATTTTAGGCTCCAAGTAGTGCTCAACCAATCGGTGTATCCCAGAGTGACTTCCACGCAGTAGGAGTAGGGATCCAGAATGTGGCCAGCAACGCGGATTCTCAGAAACAAAAACCTGCACTGCTGTAACCTAGGCAGAGAAAGTGACGAATGGTGTGCTGATTGGATGGAAAGAGAGTGCTGTCACGTTAACATGACAACAAACTGCCAAGTGCTGGGGGTGTGTGTGCGTGAGTCCGTGGGAGGTACGTCACACCAACGTTCTACTTGAGAAGAAGATTTCAACCTCGTGGTTCACAATCCTCGACTTCTTTCTCATGTTTACTGCTGCTATTGCAGGTGGTGGTGGTGGTGGTCGCTCTTTGGATAAAGGTGTTCGAGGCAACAGCGCTATTTCAAAAGGTAAGAACACTCTCTCTCTCTCTCTTGTTTCCTTCTTGTACCGTTTGCAGTTTACCTGCTGAGCATACGTCTTGGTGTTGTTGTGTGAGTCACCTTCAATGCACGCAAGAACGGCTGCGTGCGTACAGTAGCATTTTGCCTGGTACTGTTGAAGTAAATGCCCGTCCGTATCTTTGCTACGTGCGGGTGGATTTTCAATCGGGTGATGTCATCTGATACGAACATGTTCTGGCTACAAGAATCTGTTGAAAAGTCAAACTGCACAAAAATCGGGATAATGTCCCTTTTCGCGTGCTCTGGCTCCGTTGTTGAGACCCCTGCGGTGTTCCTCTCAATACAAGCTGGACGCCCGGCAGCGGTCTGGTTCTGAGTTGATCATGCATCGTTGCAGCGGATTTACAAAGCATCGGGAGCGCTGCTATGGTGTTGGTACAGAAGTGTGAGGTGTACATGTAGTGTATCTGCAGTGCATGGCAGTGTGTGCGTACCAGTCCGCGGCGTGCCTAAGCGTAATGCCGCTCGATGATCGCACTCGGTCACGTATGAATGAACGGGCAGAATTCCTCTTTCCTGCCCGGCGTTAGCGCGGAATATTTGTTTTGTCAATCGTGTCCTTAGCACGGTGCAGACTGGCTATTGTCATTCTTTGTTAGAGCCGCTGTGCAATAGTAGTGTGGCTGTTATGCAGGCTGGTCCTGCTGCTCGTACTCTACAAAAAATGTATCGAGCTCTTTCGAAAGCTTTCAACACGTGGTTCGGACTAGGTACTTCAGCTACAGTGCTAAATATTGCGACAGAGCTTTCGGCCATATTTTCAATTCATTGCATTCCCAACTCATCACAACCACGCGCTCTTCAGCCGAACCATACAGACACCAGCAAGGACACTTCCGTTGAGAGATGATATTGCCCCACGGATATTGCCCCACGGATATTGCCCCACGGAAGTGTCCTTGCTGGTGTCTGTATGGTTCGGCTGAAGAGCGCGTGGTTGTGATGAGTTGGGAATGCAACGAATAGCTACAGTGCTGCTCAATGTAATGCAGTAGCCTCGCTCCAGTTGCTCGTTTCTCAGCCCGGTGACGCGGTTCGCAGGTCTAGGGCCGCAACGCCCGGCACGTACTTCAGTGGATTTCACTGAGCGACACTGCAGTCAACTGAAGTGTACGTGCACTGGGATGGCCAGGCCTTAGGTTCTATGTGGATTACAGTGTATCGCGGACAGCTTCGAGACCGCAGTGATGCCAGATCTGTCAAAAAGGTGTTGACGCCTTGTCACGTAGCCAGCAATCGAATGTCATCATGTACATTTTTTAATCAACATACTTTTGCGAGAGCAATAACGAATGCGTGTGCTAACAATAAACTTGCAAATGAAAAAATGAAAAAAAAACAAAAGAAAGAAAGAAAGAAGGACAAAGTGATAACACATAACAGCAGTACATTTCACCTAGAACATTATCGGCCAAGCTTGGCCGCACCAAACACGACACGTTACTTGAACAATTTCAACCCAATTATACTATCTAGGTGAAATGTACTGCTGTTATGTGTTATCACTTTGTCCTTCGTTCTTTCTCTTGTTTATACTTTTGCGAATCGAACTTTTTTCAGCATCACTTTTCAACGAGGACGAAGCAAAGTCGGCCGAACAAAGCCTAGAGGAAGAGAATCATCCTCTCCGCTTCACCATCACGATACTGACATAGGTATGAGACGAAAGAACTAAAATATCCGCAAAGAAAACTGTGCGCCAACCGCCGCACTGACTTTGGTGCATGTATGTCAGTTAACTGTTCTGTTTACAACAGACAAACACACTAGTGTTCTGTCAGAACGTAGCCGCTCCACACGCCAGCTAGGTATCCGTTCACAACATACCATTGGCCTGTGTGCTGCTGGTCTTTTTCGTCAAACTGTAGTTCAAGCAAGATAATAAGATATGGCATCATCAGCGTGGAGGGTACTTCAGATGTGCATGATCCTTCGAGCTGCCTTTGCCGGAGTTGTAATGGTGCATGGCGCGCACATCTGTGATGAGATGAATACCCATACCATTGAGGATGCAAATGGCAACAACTGTACCGATCCGTTTATACTGCCACCAGTGACAGGTCAGTATTGAGTTCATCTTTCTGTCTCTCTCTGTCTCTCTCTGTCTCTGTCTCTGTCTCTCTCTGTCTCTGTCTCTGTCTCTCTCTCTCTCTCTCTCTCTCTCTCTCCCCATCTCTCTCTCTCTCTATCTCTCTCTCTCTCTCTCTCTCTCTCTCTCTCTCTCTCTCTCTCTCTCTCTCTCTGTCTCTGTCTCTGTCTCTGTCTCTGTCTTTGTCTCTGTCTCTGTCTCTGTCTCTCTCTGCCTATGTCTCTGTCTCTCTCTGCCTATGTCTCTGTCTCTCTCTGTCTCTGTCTCTCTCTGCCTCTGTCTCTTGACCCTGTCTCTCTCTGCCTCTGTCTCTGTCGCTCCCTGTCTCTCTCTCTGTCTCTGTCTCTCTCTTTCTCTCTCCCTCCCTCTGTCTGTGTGTGTGTGTGTGTCTCTCTCTCTCTCTCTCTCTCTCTCTCTCTCTCTCTCTCTCTCTCTCTCTCTCTCTCTCTCTCCTTCTCTGTCTCTCCCTCTCTGTCTCTCTCTGTCTCTCTCTCTGTCTCTGTCTCTGTCTCTCTTTCTGTATCTGTCTCTCTCTCTCTCTGTCTGTCTGTTCCTCTCTCTCTCTTTCTCTCTTCTCTCTCTCTCTCTCTCTCTCTCTCTCTCTCTCTCTCTCTCTCTCTCTCTCTCTCTCTCTCTCTCTCTCTCTCTCTCTCTCTCTCTCTGTCTCTCTCTGTCTCTCTCTGTCTCTCTCTCTGTCTCTCTCTGTCTCTCTCTGTGTGTCTCTCTCTGTCTCTCTCTCCGTCTCTCTCTCTCCCATGCACACATACACATGCACGCGAGCGAGCGCACACACACACACACATGCGCGCACACACACACGCACACACGCGCACATGCACACACACAGACACACACACACACACGCACACACACAAACACATACACACACACACACAAACGCATCCTCTCCATCGCATAATATCACAGCAGCTCATTACCAATCTTCTGTAGGTCATCGTCATAACAAATTAGCCTTTTTGAATGTTCCACTGCTGTACTGTGCCATGGTCATATGCAGTGCGTGGACCAGACGGAGTGATAAACGGCAGAACCAGTAGCATCCATCTTCCTGTCGGTCAGAATCTCTCCGTGAATGTCACAGCAAGCCAGTCGCTGTCCAGTGCTATACATCAACATGTAGGAGTGGACTGCATGGTGTACGCCACCGTGGGACTGGCCGGACAGAACAATGTCACGCGGTGAGTAGAGATTATTTGTATTCCGTATTTCATATCAGAATAGAACTCACTTCACTAGTCTTCTCGTGTTCACTGCTCTCACCTGCCAGAGGACATCTTTCTGACCAAATTCTTACTGAACAGTTGCTTTCACTAGTTGAGGGAATGGGAAAGGGAAAAGTCTGAAGAAAGAAATTGATTGACACCACCAGGACTCGAACCAGGGACCAGCCCCGGGTCCCTCACCAATGAGGATACTTCTGTGAAAATAAGCACGTGTGTCTGGGGATGAGGTTGCAGTGTAACTCCACTAGCATGCCCTGTACAAGTTAATTCAGCACGGTTTTGGCCGGAAGATTGCTTAAGGTGGCTCGCGCCTATTTCTAAACTCATTGTGTTACCTCACAACAGATACCCTGTGTTTGTGGCAGGGAAAGTTGAAACTGACCCATACTGATATGCGTGAGCTGGACCCTTCGAAACTGGAGTGCGCTACAAGCTTGCTACGCAGCTCCGTATGCGCTTTTCTTGAACGTAGGATGCGCGAGAATCTGCGCAGAAGACGAGTTTAGAAATGGGCGTGAGCCACCTTAAATGATGCTGTTATTCCTAGCCCACACTGGGACGACATTGCAGCCGACATGGACTCATACGTAAAATCCTCGTGATCGGGGCGAAAATCGCCTGGTGTGGACGGTGTTGTCGTACAGGTTTAGGACAACTGATTTGATCTGCGACGAGTTTCTTGTCATACGAGTGTTCGGCCAAGTATCGACTGGTCAATATTTGGCTGAAAAATGTGAAAATTCGGCCAATTTTTAGTGCTTGCGTGTGGCGGAGCGGGCCTCGTTTCCCCCGCTGTCACCAGGGCATGGGATTATATGCAGGGGAAAAGATGTGCGGGGAACCATCTAATATAGGGCTCCCCTTCGTAATACGAAGTCTACAAGGAAACGTGATCATCATGGCACTCCTATAAGCTCAATGTGCGAGACTATTGTTAGAACTACCAGCACCCCACACAGACACCTGGGCATGGTCGTCTGGGGCCGTGTTGTACAGTGCATTGCTGATCATCCCAGCGTACTCGCATGCATTACGCGTGCATTTCACATTATTTTGGCAATGCTCTGGGCTCAGTTATTTCAAGCCATCAGTATACATGAAATGTGTACTCTTCCTTGTTGAAAACTCCTGTCCTTGCAGCTATTGTGAGCGGCTTGCAGACACCGCCCAGCTGGTATTTCCCGACCCAGCGACCCGTCCCTACTTCATACACCTAGGCCTGTACATGGAGCAGAACAACACGTGCCGGGCACTCAAGCACATCACAGTGACCATGGAGACTGCCGTCTCGACCAGCACACCGACCACCCGCAGCAGCAACAGCCCTGGTGGGCCAAGCAGTTCTGCCAAGCCAGCTCTGTCTCCCTCATGTATCGTGTGTCCTCCGCTTCTTGCTGTTCTTATGCTGCTAGCGTGAAAAATTACGTGCGTGTGTATGTGTGTGGTGTGATGTGTGTGTGAAAAAAAATGTAAAAGACCAAAAAGTAGGGATTCACTGGCCAGAAAAAGCCACTTCATAGCTATGTGGTGTAGACCAGGCTGAATAGTGGCGGTCAATTCTTCAGCCTTGCAAGCTGTTGAGTGGTGCAATCCCAGCACAAGCTGCTATGGCTTCTGCTGTAGCATCGCTATCATCGCCTCTGGCGATGGGCGTCCAATGGTCCAATGGTGTGTATGTGTGTGTGTATGTTTGTGTATGTGTGTGTGTGTGTGTGTGTGTGTGTGTGTGTGTGTGTGTGTGTGTGTGTGTGTGTGTGTGTGTGTGTGTGTGTGTGTGTGTGTGTGTGTGTGTGTGTGTGTGTGTGTGTGTGTGTGTGTGTGTGTGTGTGTGTGTGTGTGTGTGTGTGTGTGTGTGTGTGTGTGTGTGTGTGTGTGTGTGTGTGTGTGTGTGTGTGTGTGTGTGTGTGTGTGTGTGTGTGTGTGTGTGTGTGTGTGTGTGTGTGTGTGTGTGTGTGTGTGTGTGTGTGTGTGTGTGTGTGTGTGTGTGTGTGTGTGTGTGTGTGTGTGTGTGTGTGTGTGTGTGTGTGTGTGTGTGTGTGTGTGTGTGTGTGTGTGTGTGTGTGTGTGTGTGTGTGTGTGTGTGTGTGTGTGTGTGTGTGTGTGGTACATGGTGTGTGTGTGTGTGTGTGTGTGTGTGTGTGTGTGTGTGTGTGTGTGTGTGTGTGTGTGTGTGTGTGTGTGTGTGAGAGAGAGAGAGAGAGAGAGAGAGAGAGAGAGAGAGAGAGAGAGAGAGAGAGAGAGAGAGAGAGAGAGAGAGAGAGAGAGAGAGAGAGAGAGAGAGAGAGAGAGAGAGAGAGAGAGAGAGAGAGAGAGAGAGAGCGAGGCAAGTGAGAGCTTGGCTCAGTTTATATCATGGCGGTACCAGCCAAAGTCCAACCTGTGCATCACTGATCACAGTTGAGATCTTACTAGTATTGTGTTGATGAACGGAGTAGACTCGTGAGCCGCCAATGTATGTACTGGTGATCCGCCAGAGTACTCCTGTGGCCCACTGCATTATCACATGACTGGATCAACTCTCTGTTTCATCAACTGTGGTTCTGGGGCCACCGTGCATACACCGACACACATGCGGCCTTGGTCCCCATAGTCTCAGCTTTCTGTTCTTCCTCCTTCTCCTCCTGCTCCTGCTGCTTCCCGTTCAGCTTCTAAACTGTTCCATGGTACCCTAGGTTTGTTTGGGCGACTTGAATGCTGTTAGTTTTTGAACGCCATACTGCATGATTGTGCCAATGCTGCGCTGTCTGCATCTCGTTTGCTATGCCATGACGTTGTGACTGCCCCGGGCTGAGCTGACACGTACATAACTGTGCTATTGTTGACAGCTCAGTGTCGCGATGCGCTAGTGGTATACAAGAGAGCTAGCGCAGGTGTGTCGGTGGCCTTGCATGCTTCAGGACACCACCATCATCAATGCTATGGACCACCATCATCAATGCTATGGACCACCATCATCAATGCTATAGACCACCATCATCAATGCTATTGGACCATCATCATCAATGCTATTGGACCACCATCATCAATGCTATTGGACCACCATCATCTACTTGTATGTTTGTTTGGCTAGTTTGACATATCTACCTTTTAGTCAGCCACTGAGGCTCTGAGTGTGGAATACAATCATGTACTTTCCAATCATCCCGATTTGACCAGGACCGTCCCGACATTAGGCCTTTACGGATTATGCTAGCATAATATTTCGCATAATTCCTACCAAAATCGAATAATCGCATAAGTCGAGGCAAATTGCATACGAATCACATAAAATTGGAATAATCCGCCTGTTCGCATCAAATTCCATACAGTTGTACATGTTCTACAAGACAGTAGATGCACCGGGAAGTCGTAGGTTTACGACTCCCTTGATAACATGTCCAGTCCACTACAATCAGTGACGGTCGTAGCTAGGTCGGACGGTGCGTTGACCCCGTTGAACTTCTGCTATTGCAGTACAACGCCCTCTACAAAAAAATTCCCCTGCTATTTTGCACAGGACCATCATATACATTATCCATATAAAAACCGCTCTGTGAGCGGTTCTGAAAAACCTTTACTGGTACTGCCCCGTCGTAAAAGTAAGAAATTAGAACTGGCCCATTGTCCCCCCAAATTCGAACTGATCCACCTAAATCGCGAATGACGGGACCCGAACGCACCAGTAGCACGAGGTCGGGAGGGCACAGGACAGCAATTATCATAGGGTAACACAACCTACCGCTAGTACAGTACATGGCCTATGGTCCGGACCAACGTCCCCATCTGCATTCACAGGTAGGAACCTCGTACTACTGGTGCGTTCGGGTCCCGTCATTCGCGATTTAGGTGGATCAGTTCGAATTTGGGGGGACAATGGGCCAGTTCTAATTTCTTACTTTTACGACGGGGCAGTACCAGTAAAGGTTTTTCAGAACCGCTCACAGAGCGGTTTTTATATGGATAATTTCAGTTCTTTTTCCGTTCCCTCCCCACCCCAACCCCAAAGGTAAACATGATGACCACGCGTGCGATGTACTGTATGTAGCCATGAGACTGCAATAACACACTGATACATACCAGCCCTCCCCGCCTCGCTACCCCGCACACAGATACACAAACATGCGTATGCACACGGCACACACACGTGGCCACGCACATGCACACGACACAAACAGGAAATTCTTCATATATAATGCCATGCAAAGCAGTGGCCACCGTACTTGAGGAAGTCAGTTGTGAAACAAAAATAATTCAACTACAGCGTGTAGACAAGCTGACGGCCAAAGCACAACATAGCAAACATGACATTTGCCCAAGGATTGCAGTTTGCAGACCACGCCATGGAAGCAGCGAATACAGAATGTAATATCATACAAAGTGACAAGCAAGGAAGTGGCCATCATACACCAGAAACTTGCAGAAAGTCACACATCCAACAGATAGAGAAGTGAACAGCAATCTGATACAGCCCACACAGGACAAAGCTGACCTGATACTCGTCCCAGGATCGCAAGTGGCAAATCCGTTTCCATGCATAACATGCAGGTGTACGTTAGACGCATGGACAACATCTGACCGTGTCGCCAGCATACAATGTCATCACATGTTCACCCCACAAGTTACACACATGCACAGTAGAAGCACAATGAAAGCAATGGAAAAGTACAATGTGGTTGCTGAAGCATCTTCACACTTCAAATTCAGACTTCAATGTGGTCGTCACGGGATGATATACCTGCAAGATACAAGTGATGAAGAAAGAAAGCAGAAGGTCGTGAGGTAGGCTATGAGTAGCCCTTTCCCAAAGATGCCATAGTTTTTCGCAACTTATGCTTTTCGCAACCGTGCCAAAACAAGTGCTAGTTGCTGAAATCGCATCCATATTTTCAGAAAAAGCTCAAAAGTTGCCAATATCGCAACTCAAAATTGGAGAGTTCTTGTGCAAAACCTACAAAACAGGGAGCAGAAATAGCAGAAATGCAGCGATGCTGCGACAGCAAACTCGTACACCCCTTCCTGCTGTGAACCACCACTTTACACATTGCCAGTAGCCTGTTGCATATATCCTACATGTACATGTACATCATTACAGTGCACGGAAAAGGGAATGCACATAATTATCATAACTACCGTTGATCTACTGTTTCTCAGAAATGAGCCTGAAGGCAGGCGAGAAATGAGCGAGCACGAGTATGTATTTGTCCAACAATGCAACATGTAGTCGGTGACTTGACCTTTTGACCCCATGCCATGGGCCAATTGCGCCAAGGTTGCGGAGAAGTTGCGAAATAGTTCCGGAAAATGAAGAAAGTTGCGAAAGTTGCGATTTCTTCCTAAACAACGAAAAGTTCCGAAAAAAGTGGCCAGCATCTTTGGGAAAGGGCTAGCTATGAGACACCACAGATGGGTCACCTACATGTATGTTCAGGGCTAGTGCACTCACATGCAGAATTGTCATAATCGAGCATTTCCCAAACTGAGAAGTGCAATGAAATCCACTTGCATGCACAGGAGCAGTTGTGCAATATTATGATGCGCAATTCGACACGATCTGCGATGCTGCGTGCGATGTGCCCTGCTGTCATGATGGTGACAGTCACCGCGGTATGTTTTGTCAACGTCGCCCGTGCACTCTTCTGTCAAGTCCAAAGTGCTCACATACTTGGCAATATCTTTGCAGTGATTAACTTTTATCCTAGTTATGTCACGGGTAACTTTAATGAAGTACCCGCAGGCCGTGTCGATCCGCACATCGTCCACTCTCTCATGTACTTGGCCTGCTTTGTCTGTGTATCCATTTCATGTGCGATCCACAAAATCGACTAGACAGTGGGTGCAATACGCTCTCTATCTGAAGACGTTCTTCTGGCGCCATCTCGCCATGTACTTGGCCTGCTTTGTCTGTGTATCCATTTTCATGTGCGATCAACAAAATCTCAATGCACTACAGAGACAAGACAGTGGGTGCAATACGCTCTCTATCTGAAGACGTGAACCATTAAATTTTTTGGAAAAGTTATACGTACACCTGAAACGTAATGAAGTACAGGAATAGAGAGAGTGACTACAATACGCTCTCGACCTGATATAGTGATAACGTGTTAGAAGGTAACAGGTCTACAGTCCCACCGCACCCTTCCGACACGACTGTAGACCATTACATTTTTTTGAGAAATTATACGTACACCTTAAACGTAATGAAGTACAGGAATAGAGAGAGTGACTACAATACGCTCTCGACCTGATAACGTGAGTACAAGACACTCTCCACCTGATAACGTGTTAGTAGAAGGTAACTGGCCGCATATCAATGGGTTGCCTTACCGTGGTCTAGAGGAGACGTCTTCGCAGCAATATTTTCCCTCCTGCGCATTCAGTCGCCGACGCGACAGCGTTTACTGGGCCGTTCCAGTTGCGGAAGACATTCGATTCATCGGGCCAATTCAGCAACAGGGCCGTGGACACACAGGGGGCAGAGGAGAGACATTGTTAGTGGACAAGAAATATGCAGTGGCAAGTGGCGAGTGCCGCATGGATGTCAAGTTGTCATGCACAATTCAGCTATTACTTACGGTCCAGCTAGTCCTGCCATTGCTCGGCTCGTCCTGGTTCCTCCTCGTTCGTCTTCCTGCACGTCTGCACTTCTCCTTCCCCACCGTTGGCTTTGCGGTACGGGGGTGCCGGAAGGAATTCCCACCATGAATCCATGTACATGAAGTCCCACCATGACTCTCCATGTACATGTCCACGGCCACGTCAGCAGTTTGTATAGTACCGGAAGGAGTTCCCACGATGTCTCCAAAAGCCTAGAGTGG